GTATAAAGCTCCACGAGGTCCGCCTCTTTCTAACGCCGCTGAATGTCTTTTGCTAGGGTAAATAAACATTGGTGGTATAAATATCCCAGTCGCCCCCATTGCACACATCGCTGTAATATTCCGGCCCCTCTCGCCACTAGTTATTGAACCCACGGGTTTCTGACCTTTCTCTGCAATAATTTTTCCTGGATCTTGTACTGATGAGAACCCAGTTTCATCAGCATTATATATACTTTTAGGAAGAAATTTATATTTCTCCATTCAAGCATTAAGCAGCAGCTTAAAAAATACGCCGACTTCTTCTTTATTAAAGGTAATCGCTCTATTTAAGCTTGTGCCCTCAGCTTTTCTACCAGACAAGTGGTTCCTTTGTAAGAACCCTTTTAGCCAATCTTTTTCTGCCAATTGTAACGTTTTATTAAAATTTTGCTTGATATTGTTTTTCTCTGCATAATCATAAGCCATCTTTCTAATTTGAAGCGAATAGCAGCCGTAAAAAATCTTTGCAAGGTACTTAATTTGGGATGACATGTCTCTTTCCTGTTCCGCAGTAAATATTTCTGCCTAATTGCGGACGGTCAGTTTCTCTTTTTCAGCCTTTCTTCTAGGGTTAAAAATGGTACGCTAGTAGAACGTGCCGCTTCTCTAATAGATTTACCATTTTGGACTAAATGGAAGACTCTTTCCAGCGATATGTGATTCACCCTTATTCGTTGTTTATCTTTCTTTGGTGACATTCTACACAACAAATACGGATAATAATTAGCTATAAATAAAATAAAAAAAGTCCAAGTAGCAAGTAATATTAACTACAAGGAACAGTTGGGTAATACCGGTCAGAAGAAAAATAAGCAGGTAATACCGGTCAGCATGACCGGCATTACCCAACTGAATAACCTATAAAATAATGCGTTTTGTTTTTAGAAACATGTAATATTAGGGGTTAAAGTTAATAATTCCTTCATGTACAAGTAATTAAAGAACACGATTATTACCAAACAATGTAATAAATTTGTATAAGTAAATACTTACCTCTTATTTACAATGACTAAAAAATTACTTCAAGATGGCGCAAAATCAAATGTCATTCACCTTCCTCCAACGCGTGATTGAAACTGATCTAGAGGCTGCCAGACGACTTATTTTAACGTGTGCGCGCTTGTAAAAGTCGTGGTTTAGTTAATACTGTAGTGACCGGTATTGTCGCCTGATCGGCAATGCCCGCTTCTACCCCATGATTTGTGTTTTTAAATGAAGCAACATGCCATTTTTGTTTAGAAATATTATCAAAAATTTCAACAGTGGGTACAAATTATTCAGCAATTTTATGACGTTTTCTTAACTAAGCTTATATGGCACCCTGTTTCTTGATAAAGACACTAATCTTTTTAAAAATTTTGTACGAAGACATTCTAAAACATTATTATTACTAACATCCAGCCTTCTCTGTGATTTTCCTCCCATTTGAAGATTATGTTTTAATTCTTAATGAAATTTTTCCAAGCACAAGTATTTTTTTAAACACTTTTTGAAAACAATGGGCCCATTGTTCAGATCATTTTTCATAGTAAGTGCTAAAGTACTCTCCATATTGTTTAGTATCTTCATCTGCAGTTAAACATTTTATCAAAATAGTTATCATTTTTTGAAATGTTATTTTGTCAAGTTCATTAATCAATAATTTCATATTTTTCCAAACTCCTTTGCGTTTTTCAATAATGCTTATTTTTGACAAGTAATCTTTAGGATTTCCTTTAACATGCCATTCACACAAAAGTTATTTGGTTTATGTTTATACACTCTAACAAATGCATTATAAAATGTATTCGAATGATCTGACATAAAAATTTTGGGTTTGAGTTCTGGCAACTTCTCTTTAATGCAGGAAAAAATAGTTTTATATATTCCTTCTGATTGGGTAATTGACCTTAAAAAAGCTACTGGGAATCCTTCATAGGCTTCATCAACTACCATAAATGTTGAAAGTTGTATTTTATAGGGACTAGTCCCATGGGTTGAATTAATCAGCTATATTTATAAAAATAAGACAAAATTTCTCTTTTCCTATGGCACTGTCTTAAGGTTTATGTAATAATATAGGATTATCCAAGTCAGATATATTTTTCAATAGGAATGGTTACACTTTTGGTATCATCTTAACGTCTGATTATATTTTAAATGATTTCTTTATACTATATAAGTAATGATTTATTGTATAGCTTATTCTAATTGATTGATTAAACTTTTCACCAAATATTTTAAAATTTTGTAATAAGGAATTTTTTCTGCTAATTCATCTTGTTTAAATTGGGCCATGCTCAGCCTTTCCACTTCCAGCTCATGTCCTATGTGGGTGGATATATAATTGACCTTAACGTCACCTTTGTTGCTGAAGTTTGCTGTAATCCTTGCTGGACAAGAATAACCAATTTTATTTTATTCGAGATCATTTGGTAATATTTTTTGTACAACTAAAGGTCCGTCTTGACAAGACGAGATCCAATTTGGATCTCGGTTTGTTTTATCTGTCTGTGCCTTAGTAAACGGACAAGACAAGAGATTAAATATAACTAAATCTGTATTGAAATAAGAAACATAATTTATTGCACAACTTAAACATAAAATAGAAAATTATTATTATATTATAAATTATTTGTTTGTAAATAAATACTTTTATTTGTACCCAGGTTTTGTCCTTAAATAAATTGCAGTGGTTTTTCTGTAATTTATGGCATTCGTTCTTTTTGGGTGAATTTTTGTCTTTAATGTGGGTCTTACAAATTTTCTTTATAATTGACTTTTACTCCTCTTTCCACGTTCCTCGACATTTTTCTTTTTTGAAATTTGGTTTAAATTTCTTTATTTTTTTTTGGATGGTACTTCTGCAATTAATAGATTAGTTTTAGATAACTAAATTAGTGTATTTTTAAATTATTTACAGTGTGTTACACTTTATGGTTAGCAGATTGACATACTTGCAACTCTTATATTTATATTAGGGATTTTATTTTATTTTGGTTCAAATAAAATTGCTTTAAACTGGAGACTCAGCCTACTAATAAAAATTAAGGCGACAGTGTTACGTATTCGTATTTAGAGCTAACTAAATTTTTAATTCCAACATTTGACACATATTAAAATATCTTCTGATTATGTACTGTAAAAACAACATCGCCGCCGTTATGCTTTACTAAATGTCAAAATTAGTCGTTTTAGTACATGGTACGGCATCTGTTGGCTGGTGGATGTACTACCTCTTGCCGGTAACAGAAAACTGCGGTGAATTACTAATGGTTCATTACACACTGTTCGAAAATTCTGCAAATACTTTGCAACATCATAGGATAATATATTGCAAGCATTTCTTAATTCTTCTTAATTAATTTATTATTTACTTTTATTGCTTTTGTATCCTTCCATTCTCATCGTGATGTCTCAAAATAAGTCTATCCTTCATATTTGGAGGTTGCCACGAAATTTGATTGGGAAGATAAAACTGTTGCACATTTGGTTTTGTTTTTCATTCGATCCTTTGCAATTTTTTTGTGAGAGTGCTAGTGAAGATATGACTAAACGAAAACCTTGTTCTTCAGCGAGGGCAGCGACAACAGGTTTTCTTTTTCTTGGGCTACTGGCTAAGGATCTTATTGCCCTGTGTAAAGCTTTACCAAATAATTGTCGAGACAGATATAAAGAAAGCGTAAGGCTTGAACAGCTTAAATTCATTGTTAAATCAGATTCCGATAAAGCCTTTCTTGAAACTGTTTTTCTTTCAGCTACTTTTTGCGATGGTCTTTTAGTTTTTTAAATCTGTAGTAAGGTTCTTTCTGAAGAGCCGAGACCGTTGAGCTTCTTTCTTTTTCTGTATTACGTCGACACCTTTTTTCAGATTTTCCAAAAAACCTGCACAACTTAATCATAAATGTTGCAAATATTTACCAGTATTTCGTAATAAAAAGTTAAAGTTGTATTTTTTTGGTCGCAGAACACTTTTTGAATCACCAAGTTACAAATCGGAAATAGTCGTTTCTTGCACCTTGGTTACAATGGTGTACGTCCGTTACGCTAAAAAAATTAACTTACACTTTTTATAAAAATAACCAATGAAGACGAACAAATGAGTGTGGAATTAAATGACACTGACTGGTATGAATGTAAAAGTGATCAATATTAACCATCAACGTCGTCAAAGAAGCCAATCAAAATTTACAAGCAGCACTTTAGAGATGAGTGAAAAGCACAAATTGGCTGGTGTCAAAAAGAAATCAGCCTATTGTGAAGTATGCAAAAAATACCTTCAAGGTTCAAAAACTCACATTGAGAGACATGGACAAACAACTCTACACATAAATAATTTTAAACATTTTAAAATTGAAGAAAAACTTGACGATTTTATGGCTTAAAATTCTAAAATTAAGTTACAAATAAAGTAGAGGAAGGAGAATCAAAACTGGTAATGTTCCTTCATCAACATAACCTCTTCTTACTTACCACCTGGCAAAACTTATTAGTTCTGTTTGTTTAGATTCAGACATTGCTCAGTCATTGAAGATTTCAAGAACAAAAGCTACTTAAATTATTACTGAAGTACCTGCATACTTATTGATGAGACGACTGATGTCAGCACCAAAAAGTCTCTTGCTATTATATTGCTTTACCACAATAACAATAAATTTTTTGGTTGGTACTCAATATTTATCAGCTGTGGAATGACAGATGAATTTTATATAGTGATTTGAATATATATTTTATAATCTTTGCGTGTTTTTCTTTATTTACAAGCTTGTTAAAATGAGCCAAATAGTCTCTTAGGGTTTTACGTGGGAGAAGGAATCCACTAAAATATTAATTCTGGGTTATGAGAGAAATCCGATTCTGTACCTCACCAACGATCCAGATTATAAATTAAAAAAATAAAAGAGCAGATGCTCTTAACGATATTAAATCCATTCTCTTTAATAATGACTTTGATGGTACAACTGAGGATTTTAATAAAAAAAATGCACAATATAGGAACCCAATTTTTTAAGGGGCATTTAAAGGTGAAAAACCGGGTTGTGAGTGGAGCTGGCACAACCGATTTATATGTACCAAAGGCTTGGTGGTATGACCAGCTTAAATTTTTTATTAATTTTGATCATGTCAGAAAATCCAGATCAAATTTACCTGCTCAACCTGAAAGCAGTAACATGGAGAGTCAGCTAAGTCATGGTTTACTAAGCAGTCCAACAAACTCGAGCCCGACTGAAGAATGTGAAAGTATGGTATATGATGAGCTTAAAGAGGGATTATATGTGCTACATAGGTATACGAAAACCCCAAAAAGACAAAAAAATCTGCTTAACTTTTGGAAGAGCACACAAAAGCTTTATTTAAGGATGCTTTAAATGCTTTAAATAAAATTTCAAAAAATAAAACAGTAACAAATGAGTTAAAAGTTTTTTTTGAGTATGTTTTTGATAACAAAATATAACTTATTTATTTCTATAGCAATTTTTTTAACATGATTGCAATAGACAATAAAAAATAAATTCGAAATGTAAAAAGAAAAATTTTAAATTGTGTTCTAGATGCCCAGGAGCGAGTTTAGAGATCACAGGGAAGTGTGTCAGAGATTAATTAGAGATAGAAAAAACTAATATATTTATAGACAAATAAATTAAAAAAACTTGTGTTTACTTTTTACAAACTCCTTGTGAAAACTTTAAGAATTGCATATAATTCATTGGCAGAATCAGTAATATCCTATTGTATTATAATATGCGGGGGACATATAAACGACACATAAGTAACCTAATTTTAACAAAAAAAAATGGATTTAAAAACAATTTTTTCTAAGAAGCGTATTAACACCAAAGGAGAACTCTATGACGAATGCGGTGTCTACACATTTAATCAACTCTATCCGTGTAATGTAGCAAATTTTTTATATAAAAACCCAGAATTAGAAAGACAGCTCAACACAACAAATTGAAGCCATCATACCAAAAATACCAACAACCTTGCTAGAAAATTTTAAGGGTCCAAAAATATATAATGTTCTAACAAAAGAACTAAAAAATATTCAGAATTTTAGTACTATCCTAATCATTCTTTATTTAGTATTAATAATATAAATTATTGTGCCTTCATCTAACTTCTCTTTCTTTTATCTGATTTTTTATGTATATATTATTTTTGCCTTATTATCTAATTACTTTTTACGAATTATACTTATTTAAACCCACAATATAAAAACACGATAACTAATTAAGCACGTCACGATTTCTTACATGCACATATAAACTTTGGTAATACCATTATACAGCCTGTTCAGAATAAAACCGAATATATCTATATATATATGGGGCGTGGCCTCGCCTCCCTCCAAGGCGCGTCACAGTTGCTTGTGTGATAAACGACATGACGAAAGGTCGAGCAGGTAAGGACTTAAAAAATTAAATGATAATAATGCAAAAAATCTCATTAGGGAAGCGTCGCGCGTTGGAGGGAGGCGAGGCCACGCCCTATATATATATAGATATATTCGGTTTTAGTCTGAACGAGCTGTATATAATATTAATTTGTAATTTTTGCTCAATAAATTTATTATTATTATTATTATTTATTATGGAAGGCCATTGTTGGTAATTGGTATTTTTTATAAGAAAGTATTATAAAAGTTTTTGCTGTAAAAGGACAACCATCAGATTTGTTTTCTTGGGATATTTTAGAAATAAAACTAAAATGTGGAAAATTTCTATTGGGGACCACTTTGCTGTGTTTGCCTTATTGCATATATACAGGGTGTTATGTAATTAATGTTATATATTAAAATACTGAATACCTTTTGACATAAGGTGTAATGGAAAAATATTTTAAAAGATATTTTCCCAAAGATAAAGAAAATATATGCATTAGAAGTTTTTTTATATTTTTTGTGATACGCCACTGGTTACACACTTGTGTTCTGTCAGTACATAGATACAAACCAACAAAGTAGCTGCGCGTTGCCAGTTGTAAAAAAATTGTTACTAAAAAATTTTCTTGCAAAAAATAAATAAAAACTCAATAAATACAAAAGTTTTATGCCATTAAAGCTCTAATACCATTCTGTATTTATTTACTCATCCAGCTATTAACTTAAGCAATGATAAGAAAAATTAGTACCCACCTATTTAAAAACTAATTTTTTCATCGGTTTTTTTCTTTCTGTTTACTCAGATGAATTTAGGACAAGTTCACAGGTTAATCGTTAAACATTTAATTTGTGTATATAAATCCAAACTCCCAAAATCACTTCCCTTAGTTAAGATATTTACAATTTAAGCACATAACCTACAATTTTTTGACAGTGTTACCAACCATAACATAATAAATTAAATTGGACAAAGTAAATCATTACGAATTGATTAAAGTTTAAATCTGGTGTGTCTAAATTTAAATATATTTTTTATAAGTAAGTTTTTAAATCACAATGTTAAAACGATTTTTAAAAAATCATTAGTTTACAAATTTTAACAAGGTCTAATTCTAAAATCTAGCGATTTCAGGTTTTTATCTTTTTTCAAGTTTTTTCAGGTTTTTATTCTTTTATAAATATTTTGAAAGTTTGAAAATTTGTATTTCAGTTGTATAATCTGTGTTGTATTTTATTAGTAATAATAATAAGTAATTTGTGCGAAAGATTTTATGCTATGGCGGGTCGGGCGCTCACAAATATTGAATTAACAAATATGGTTTTGTGTTACGGGGAAGCGATGCAAAATGCTCGTCAAGCAAGAATTTTGTATATTCAAAATTATTACAACGCCAATGACGGACATCCACCGCCCTCGGAGCAAAGTTTTGTACGTGCTGTGCAAAATTTAAGGGACCGCGGAAGATTTAGCGCATTTGTTGGTGATAGGGGTCGGGCTCGGGGACGTGAATTTGTGGCCCTTGAAGAGCAAATTTTGGACGAAGTGGAAGCAAATCCGAGAATTAGTACAAGAAGATTAACTGCCCAACTTGGACATAGTTTGTACCCCTATCACCTACAAAAAGTTCAAGCCCTTCAGGATGGAGATTATGCACTGCGGTTGGAATTTTGCCATTGGTATATACAAAAAAATCAAGAAGATGCTGATTGGAGCCGTAGTGTTTTGTATACCGATGAGGCCACATTTACGAGAGACGGGATTTTCAACCAACATAACACTCATGTTTGGGCTTTTGAAAATCCCCATGCAGTGCGGGAAAGTCATCACCAACAGCAGTTTTCGCTAAACGTTTGGGCCGGAATAGTGGCAAATAATTTAATTGGGCCACATATTTCTGCAAAATGATTTACCAGACCTTTTATTTGAGGTGCCCCTAGCAGTTTGGCGAAGGATTTGGTACCAGCACGATGGCGCTCCTGTCCATTTTGCAAGAAATGTTGCGGACCATTTAAACGAAACCTATCCAGCTAGGTGGATTGGAAGAAATGGACCTATTCGGTGGCCCCCCGTTCTCCCGACCTCAACCCGTGCGATTTTTATCTCTGGGGTGCGATGAAACAAATTGTTTACTGGTTCGCGGTGAACAATTTACCAGAATTAAGAGAGCGCGTTTGGGCAGCAACCCAGGAACTTGTAAATAATCCAGACATTTTTACGCGGGTGCGCGAAAGCATGACTCATCATACTGGCCACCTTTAACGAATTAAATATAAATCAACAAAGCGATTGCCCATTTTAAACCACCGTCTTCAAACCCGGCCCATTCATAAAATAATTAGAATCTTAGAAACGGCAGGTAAAAAATAATTTATTTGTAAACAAAAGCTTTAAAATAATTGTTTTAGGAAACCATTTCGAAGGTTTGGAAAAATTATATATTGCAGAGGATACAGACGCGAAAAAATTAAAAGCAGTCGACATAATCAAACTAAAAAAGTAACTCTTGATGAATCATTAAAAGAAGACTCAAATATGTCGCAGTATTTTCCGCACCAAAAATTTAAAAACCTTCCACCTGTCCCAAAGGCTATGAATTTACAGGAAAAACCAACAGGCTTACCTCGGTTTGGAACTGAAAGGACTTTTTAAATAAAAACTGACACATATCGTGACCAATGTTCAAAACAAATGAATTTGTTTGAGTCCAAGACAGAAAGTTGCTGGGCGGAAAACAGCGCTTTAAATAAAAAAAGATTGGAAAATTGAAACAAACGCTTCACTATAAATCCAACAAAGCAAGTAATTTTTCTGAGCTGAGCGTACGACAGCGCTTTAAATGGGAACATATCTGAAAATTGTAGCCAGCCCTCAGAAAAAATAATTCCCGTTGAATCAAACGCACCAAGTTATCACCCCTTAAGACGGACGGATGACCATTCCGAAATTTCAGATAGGGGTAAGTTTACTTTTACTTTCAAATTAACTTAATATTAAATATATTAAAGTCGTATTATTGTTTGTTTCAAAAAAACTAAACCTGATTTTAAGAAAAGTTAATAGTATGAATTTGAAGCTCGACCGTTTAGAGAAACCTGCTTAACAAAACAAGAATGGCGAGATAAGGACCACAGAATAAGACAATGAATATAATTTTGAATTGCTATTCCCCTTACAGAACATGGATGAGGTAGAAGCGTTGGAAGAAAATTTAAAAAATCTCAAATTCTACAACAATCTGGTAAATCAAAATTAACTTCTAAATTTTGTTTTTTAAAGATCTTTTTTCAGGGCAAATTCTTAGAAGGTAAAGGAAAAGGCGAGACTGCTCACGCTACAATTTTTCTTAACCTTAAAACTTTGATGTCAAACCAGTTGGCAATATTGTTAACCTTTGCAGGAAAAAGAGACAAGCACAGCTTTAAAGATCTGTCTCTCTGCAAACTTTTAATAAGTAACTTATTTATATATTTTTAAAATGATGAATAACTTATATTCACCATTAATCTTTTCCATTTCTCCGGCCACATATCTGAAATAAATTACAAACAAAATAAATAAATATGCAAAATTAAATCAATGGATGTACATAAGTTAGAATAACTCTTAAATTAGTCAGTATGTCAAGAAGTAATATACCTTGCAAAAGCCAAATGATTTAGTGTGGGACTAGTTGTTTCAGGCTTGTTTAGCCCTTCCAAAGCTAATACGGCAGTCTAAAACAGTCCAGACGGTTCCTTCTTTGTTTCCCTGGGTTGTTTTCTTTTTTTGCCCCGTCCAGTTTGTGGAGTATAGGAACTTTGAAACCAAGGGTGGAGATGACAAAATATCTGTTAGATCACCCACTGGTTGAGGTGAAAAAACCTTATCCCTCAAATCTTCCATTTCTCTGAAATAAATCAAAGTTAATCTATATATTTGCTGGATTTTATATTCTTAGTTTGCTCACTATCTAGCATTAAATGTAAACATTAAATAATTATAAGTGCTTCCTCACAGTGAAATTTGAACTCCTTTAGAAGGTAATAGTTTTATACAACATAAATTAAATTTTACACTCACCTTATCCTCAAGTGGTGTAGTGCATATATTTAAGGGAAGCACCAAATTTGACTCTCCACTGCTGACCACCTCCGATCCCTGCTGCAAAAAAGTAGCTGGTCGAAACACCATAATTTGGGTTGGGTAGGGATTTATTAAATTTAATTTAATTAAAGATTAGGATTGTTATTTTCAAAATCTTCCAAACAAAAAGTAAGTGGATTTATTTTATGTTTAGAACAAATTTAGCTCCAATGTGCCGTCACTTATATTCAAGTGCCATATAACTTTTAATTATTTAACTTTAGTATGAAAAGTCAACTGGTAAAGTACCGATTCGTTTATACAATATATACTTCAGAACTTGTTAATTGTATTAAAAATTGTAAACTACATCTTTACGCGGACGATACACAGGTATATTTTTCATTTAAGGCAGATGAAATTTAAGATGCTAATAGGTTGGTTAATTCTGATTTAGGCAAACTTTATAAAGCATCGGTTGCACATTGTTTGTCAATAAATTCAGAAAAATCCAAAGGTTTGTTATTTGACCGTAATAAAAGTATTCTTTCAAATAAACAATTTCTTAACATTGAATTAAATAATTCAATAATTCATGTTACAGAAGTAGCAAAGAATTTAGGTATTGAAATGGATCAGGACATGAGGTTTAGTAAACACATTTAGTTACTACATGAAAAGGGCGTTTGCGTTGATCTACCCGCATAGGCATCTTATTAACTCCAATGTTAAGCAACAGTTGTGTGATTCGCTGGTGTCCCACTTTAACTTTGACGATATTTTATATCATTTGTGTATCACAAAATTTGCTTCAAACCGTATTCAGAAAATTCAAAATTCATGATACGGTTTATCTGTGGAATCTGTAGGGTGTACCATACCTCGCAAAGCCTTAAAAATATCAATCGGTCAAATATGTCGGAAAGGAGATTATTACACTGCCTTACATTTTATAATGACCTTATTAAGAACAAGAATCCTGAATATTTGTACAACACCATAACATTTAGAACGTACATAATTTAAACATACGCTACCAATATAACATAACTACACTCTACAGCCAGATGGTTAGTTATAACATTGCTAAATGGTACAACTTGTTATCCACACAACTAAAAAAATTAACGGGCAAACAATTTAAATCTGAATTTAAACTAATAATTAATGGTTTAATTGATATTTAAGTTGAAGGGGATTAAAATGTATTAATTTGAAGTATTGTTTATTTTTTATTAAAGCTCTTTTATTGGACCTTTATTGGTTTCAGGTCAAAATTAAATAAGGTTAGGTTAGCTTAAGTATAGGAAGGGTTAAGTGGAAGAACAGCAAATACATGCTTTGTATAAGCTGAACTTCGCCCATTGATTGTATCTTTTATAATCGATAAAGGCATTTATTATTATTATATTATTATTATATTATTATTATATTATTATTATATTTTTATTAAAATTTGTATTTGTTTACTATTGTGATTATGGACTTTTTATAAAGAAAGGCTTATGTTTACAAAAATAATTATACCTTAGTACACGCATAGAAATTTGTCAAAACAATTGTTTCGATGAAGTTCTTACTTGACAATAAATGTTTATTAGCTACATGCTTTTCATGTATTAAATCTTGATAAGGATCGCTTTTAACTTTCTGTTAATTTTCATTTCCTTAAGCAACATCGATGTTGATAAACATTAATATACCTACATCAACTCTTTATGACCAACTTGTGAAAATAAAAAGAAAAAACTTGACTGACTCAGTAAAGAAAAGCAGTAGTTCAGATGAGGATGCATCTTCTTTATCAAAGTACGCTACCTGTCAAATATTCTCTCCAGGAGAAGAAAGGCAGTTGGAAATGTATCTAAAGCAATCTTCCAAAATATTGTATGGGCGGCTACGTTAAAGTTATAGCAGTCGTTTGTAATATTTTGAAGTGATTAAAAATGGATCCGGAAACATTAGCATTATTTTTGTATGAAGATGAAAAAGATTATGAAATTCTGATGTTATTAACGTCCAGAAGAAAAGAAACTGACGAATTATACACATCTAGAAGCCAAGAAGGATATTATAAAGTTCTAATTAAAAACCATCGATGGTTTTTAATTAGAACTTTATAATATCCTTCTTGGCTTCTAGATGTGTATAATTCGTCAGTTTCTTTTCTTCTGGACGTTAATAACATCAGAATTTCATAATCTTTTTCAAGATGCATCTTGAAGCCGATGATGACAAGTTTCGTGGCTTTTTTTGACTTAATAAAGAGCAATTTAATTTTGTGAAGATATATAGAAGCATTCCACAAATAGTGTATCGAAAAACTTTAACACTAAGGTGAGTAGAAAATTTTGAGTAAGGTAAGTGAGCCAACTATTGCAACTAATGTAAAATTTACTTCTTAAAAATCCATTGAGTTGGTAGTATTAGTCAGATTCAACTTATGCCAACCATTTAATTCAAGAAAACCACTCATTTAACAATAAATTCAAAATTTGTTGCAGATAAAGGTACCAAATTAAATTTACTAGAATTATAAAAAAAAATTTTTGTAATACTTTTTTTTTGTAAACAAATATCAGTATATTCTAAATATTATAAATGTGTTGTAAATGAATATGTATTGTAAATAGGCAGAAAGACTAAGGTCGTTAGCCTTTTGGAGTAATCCAATAAAGTTTATTTTATTATTTATTTATTTAAAAAATCTGATATTATCCTCAATAATCAAATAGAAACAAATAATTTTCCTCTGTTAAATCAATTTTAATATTATATAAGAATACTTCGACAGGTAAAATTTTCATACTGCACTAATATTTAAAGATAAAGTTTGAAATTATTTCTGAAGAAGCTACTGTACAATGTTAGAGAAACAATTGTCAAATTAAGTTATAATAAATTCGTGAAACTTTTTTATCTAGTTATACATTAGCAACATGGAGTTTTATAAAGTAAAGGTTGAAACAATAAAATAAAAAAAAAGTTTCTATTACTTTTAATTTTTTAGACGCTGTTGAATTCTACGGATTTCATAGGGTTAGACCTGCCTTACTCCAATTTTAAAATGGATTAGAAAGCGGGGACAACCACTAGTTTTTATTAATGAATGTCAATTAAATTTTTCTTACTACCTCGGCCGAAAATACGTTGTTTCGTCCCCGATTTCACGGCAAAAAGTTTACGTTTGATGCATTGGTCAAGCTATACGCGCGCCTCTATAATAGCGGGAGTGAAAGTTTTTTCAAAAAATGACAAGGTTGGGCTGTTTCAGGATTAGAATTTATATCTATTATTTTATTGTTTCCTGTAGTAAACAAAGGTCGTTGTTTTTCCGGTTCTTCTGATTTTTCTGATACAAATGACTTCTCAATTTCTGTTAAAGTATTATCGGCCGGGTAGCAAGAAAAATAGTATATACTACACAGGCAGAAAGTTTGAGAGCCCTGAACTGCGCGCCATGATGGGACCACAGAATAAGACAATGAATATAATTTTGAATTGCTATTCCCCTTACAGAACATGGATGAGGTAGAAGCGTTGGAAGAAAATTTAAAAAATCTCAAATTCTACAACAATCTGGTAAA